GTGCTGCTGGACCTGGAGCCGCGCGTGATCCACTCCATCCTCAACTCCGCCTACGCCAAGCTCTACAACCCCGAGAACATCTACCTGTCCCAGCACGGCGGCGGCGCCGGCAACAACTGGGCCCGGGGCTTCTCGCAGGTGTCCGCCGCGCCCGGACCGGCCCAGCCGGCGTCCCGCACCTCGGCCCGACCCGAGGGACCGTAAATAAGAGACCGGTGCATGCCCTGAGCGGAGGGACACGGGCGCCCGCCAGGCCTCGCGCAGGTCCCGCATGGAGGAGCAGCTTTGGGCTGAGGGCTGCACCCCAGAACCCTGGGTTGAGGGTTGTGGTCGAGGTCACTCCAGGGCATCAGTGTCCCAGGTGGAGCTCTGAAGAGAGCCTTCTGCCTCATCCTCCCTCCCGTCTCCATACAGGGGGAGAAGATCCATGAGGACATCTTTGACATCATAGACCGGGAGGCAGATGGGAGTGACAGTCTGGAGGTGAGACTCCCCCACCTCGGGGTGTCCCGGAAGAGGCTGAGGAGCCCTGGAGGCCTGAATCCCTGACTGAAGAGGCGAATGGACTCAAAACCCATTTTTTTAAGCTGCATGTGGTGGTGCAGGCCTGTGATCGCAGCACTCTGGGAGGCTGAGGCAGGAGGATTGCAAATTTGAGCCCAGCCTGGGCAATGCTGTGCTTAAGTGATTTAGCAAGACCCTATCCCTGAATTTAAAAATTAAGGAAAAAGAAAAGGCTTGAAGAGATAGTTCAGTGCAAAATCCCTGGGTGCAATCCATAGTACTACAAGATAGATAGATAGATGATAGATAGATACCATAGTACTACAAGATAGATAGATGATAGACAGACAGACAGGCAGGCAGGATGTGGAAGTACAGGCCTGTAATGCTATCACTCTGGGAGGCTGAGGCAGGAGTGCAAGTTAGAGCCCAGCTTAGAGAACTTATCCATTTAGTGAGACCCTATCTCAAAATAAAAACTAAAGGCAGGCCCGGGGATGTAGCTCAGTACAAAGGCCCCAGACCCAGTCCCTGGTACAGCAAAAACTCAGTCCCTCAGCGAATACAGGACACGACTGAAGCTCAGCATGGCGTAGCTGGTAGGGAAGGTGCACTCCTCATCCTCAAGGAGGTCATAACCTGGGCGGTGGCAGCTCCTTAGACGTGAGTCATTCGGCCGATGCCTGGCTCTGGACCGGCCCAGGGAGCCTCTGGCCTGGGTGGACACAGGAAGCTCAAGGCGGGTGTGGGCAGTGGGAAGGGACACCCGAGCTCCCAGCTCCTGGGTGCTGTCTCTGCGTCTGTCCCCCGCAGGGCTTCGTGCTGTGCCACTCCATCGCAGGGGGCACGGGCTCAGGCCTGGGCTCCTACCTTCTGGAGCGGCTGAACGACAGGTACACCCTTGCGCTCGCTGGAAGACGGAAGTTGACCCTAGGTCCCTGGGCACTGACTTTCTTCTTCTCTTGAGTGTGAAGGGCTGCCACTACCCCGGGAGCCGTAGGGACACACTCAGCAGGGCGCATCCTAGGAGCAGAAGCCGGAGGAGCGGGAGGCCACCTGGGGGCGGCTTGGGGACTGTGACCGGCCCCACTCCTTTCTGCTGTCATCTCTGTGGACAGAGCTCAGGGCCCTTGGGAAGGACCGGTCCCTGCTGTCCCTAGAGAAGAGAAACTGGCAGTCCCAGGGGTCCATCTGGTCACTGCACCGCTCCCCTCTTCTTTCTTCTCACCCCCAGGTACCCCAAGAAGCTGGTGCAGACCTACTCGGTGTTCCCCAGCCAGGACGAGATGAGCGACGTGGTGGTGCAGCCCTACAACTCCCTCCTCACGCTCAAGCGGCTGACGCAGAACGCGGACTGCGTAGTGAGTGCCCGCTGGTCCCCTGGCCCCGTCCCTCCTGTGCCAAGCCCAGGCCACACAGAGAACAGGCCTGACCAAGCCGTGCTGGGTGGGCTGGACCGAGAAGTAAGGTTTTGACCTCCTCCTGGCTCCCCATCCTTGGAGGCAGCAGGGCTCCCAACGGAGTGGACGTGCCCAAGCCTACCTTGTAGTCTTTCTTTGCCCCCTCATGTTTGAACTCTCAGGTTGGGTTCCTTGTCTTAGCAGAGACTCCCCAGTTAACATCAGAGACTTTGTACATATTTCAGGTCATTAAATATACTTTCTGAGACAGGTTCTTGCTCATGTAGTTCAGGCTGGCCTTGAACTAAGTAATCAGGGTTAGCCTTGTACTCCAGGTGATCCTCCTGCCTCAGCCTCCTGAGTGCAGGAAAAACAAATGTTCACCATTAAACCTGGCTAAATATACTTTCCTGAGTGATTGGTTCTGGGGTGGGGGCTGGAAGCCAGGGCCTCACGCTTGCTAAGCACATGCACCATGTCTGAGCCTGGTCTGTATTTAATGATTGTCTGCAGTAGGCTGGAGGTTGAGTAAAGCGCAAGGCAGGCACTCCGAGGCACACTGGGGCAGTCGCACACGTGCTTTGCTTACTGTCCCCATGGTCCACGAGGAGCTCTGCTGCTGTGAGGCCTACTTTCCTTTTCCAGCGAACAGGCCCACTTCCGGGTGCGGGAGCTGGTGGAGGCGAGGGCCCCGCTTCTGTTCGGGTCTCCTTTCTCCTTCAAGAAGGGCTGTGGCCCCCTCTGTCCCCAGGTCGTGCTGGACAACACAGCCCTCAACCAGATCGCCACAGACCGCCTGCACATCCAGAACCCGTCCTTCTCCCAGATCAACCAGCTGGTGAGCCAGTCCTCGGCCCCCGGATGGGGCGCCCTCCACGCCGGGGCCACCAGGGAGGTGGGTCCGCCCCAGGCCAGGCCGTGACACCGCCCCACCCCAGGTGTCCACCATCATGTCGGCCAGCACCACCACCCTGCGCTACCCCGGCTACATGAACAACGACCTCATCGGCCTCATCGCCTCCCTCATCCCCACGCCGCGGCTGCACTTCCTCATGACCGGCTACACGCCCCTCACCACGGACCAGTCGGTGAGCGCCTCGGCCCTGGCCCCGCTCCTGCTCCCGCTCCCGCGCCGGGGCGGGCAGGGCCCGCTGAGCCTCGGGTGGGTGGGCGGCCGAGGGTTCGGATCCCGCAGCAGCAGAGACCCCGGGCAGATGGCACCGAGGGAGCTGCCCGGAGAGCCGCCCCGCGCCGGGTCTCACGGCCGCTCCTCCCCCCTCCCACGCGTCCCCGGCCCGCGCCCCCACCCCGCCCTCAGGTGGCCAGCGTGAGGAAGACCACGGTGCTGGACGTCATGCGGCGGCTGCTGCAGCCCAAGAACGTGATGGTGTCCACGGGCCGGGACCGCCAGACCAGCCACTGCTACATCGCCATCCTCAACATCATCCAGGGCGAGGTGGACCCCACACAGGTAGGCGCGGGCCTCGGCCCCTCCCCGGCCCCGGCTGAGGACAGGCGGGCAGCGGCGACCCCGTGCCTGTGCCCGGCCAGGTGCACAAGAGCCTGCAGAGGATCCGGGAGCGCAAGCTGGCCAACTTCATCCCCTGGGGCCCGGCCAGCATCCAGGTGGCGCTGTCCAGGAAGTCCCCGTACCTGCCGTCCGCCCACCGGGTCAGCGGGCTCATGATGGCCAACCACACCAGCATCTCCTCGGTGAGCCGGGCCTCTGCTCCCCTCCGGCCTCTCTGCCGGCCCCCGGCCTTGGTCTCATCCCCGGCTGTTCCAGCTCTTCGAGAGCTCCTGCCAGCAGTATGACAAGCTGTGGAAGCGGGCGGCCTTCCTGGAGCAGTTCCGCAAGGAGGACATCTTCAAGGACAACTTCGACGAGATGGAGCGGTCCAGGGAGGTGGTGCAGGAGCTGATCGACGAGTACCACGCGGCCACGCGGCCCGACTACATCTCCTGGGGCACCCAGGAGCAGTGAGGCCCGGAGCCACAGCCGCCCTCAGGGTCCCCAGCCCTGCCTCCCACCCACTCTTCAGGTCCACCTGCAGCCCAGGATCAGGCCGCACCTCCTGCTTCTGTTCCCAGCCCTTGATATGCTTGTTCTGTTCTAATAAAGTAATAAAGCTCAGTGGCGAATAGTCAGGCTCGCCGTTTGGTGTTTTTGTTTTTTGAGACAGGGTCTCGCTATGTAACCCAGGCTAGCCTTGAACTTGAAGTGCTCTCCCTGCCTCAGCCTCCCAAGTACTGGGATAACAGGTGTGCAGCACCATCCTTGGCTGCGGTGTATCCTTGAATCTAAGCGATGGTGAGAGGATGGTGGTCTCCATGGTAGAACGGCTCTGCTTTTCACCACGTGCCGGGTCTTACTCTGCCTACGGTGGCCCAGGCGGCCCCTACCCTGAGGCAGACTTGACTCTCCGGAGCCAGCCCTTCTGTGTGGATTTTGGCAGTGTCTCCTACATGCCTCAGCTGCCGGTCCAGGCTGACCAGTGTCATCCAAGGGCCCTCTACTGGGGACCAAGCATGTGGTGTCCACAGAAGTGGGGCCCCAGTCTAGAGTGGGTAAGGTGAGCTGGTTCCAGCAGCCTGCACCATCAGAGCTGAGCTTGAGTGGGCCTGAGTGGCTGAGCAGATCTCCACTTCTATCTCCAGAGAAGTGTTGGGTCTCCTGCCAGGCACTCCATGCCATACCCAAAGCTGTGGGCACAGCGAAGATGGACCCACATGGTACCCAGAGCCAGACACCAAGGTAGGACCTGGGCAATGCCAGTCTGATGACTCAGGCATGCCAAGAGGCCGCCCCTCTGCCACTCTGTTCGGGAGAGGCTGAGTAATCGCAGCTCTCAGCCACACCCCCTTCCCCACACGCCCACTGCCAGGGCAGTGGCTGCAGAGGGGCAGAGCACAGCCCCGGGAGGGTGGGGTCTGCGGCAAGTGCACCCCCTGCACACCAAGCCTGAGTGTGGGTGTCCAGGGCGGGGCCCGACTTGTCCCCCAAACGCTCCACAAGGGTTTGTGTAAATGAGGTTTTTTTTGCTCCGGTTCTACAAATAAATTAAGAAACAAACTAGAAAAGTGCCCACAGCCGTCGCAGCCTTGGAGTGTGGGGTGTGCCCCGTCCCCGCAGGGCCAGTGTGTCCATGTCTCCGGGTCCTGGGGCGGCCCTGGCCGGCCGGCCGCGGCAGGAAGCTTGACCTTTTGGCAGGCTCAGTCCTGCAGCTGCCCCAAGCAGCCAGGCTGTCCCTGGGACTCGGCCAGGCCCCGGTCCGGGCGGGGAGGGGAGGCGTCTGGCCGCTCTTGGCAGGGAGGCCTCTCTGGCGAGGGGGTGGCCAAGCAGGCGTTCACCAGCTGCATGATCTCTTCCACCTAGGAGGACGGAGGTCGATGCTCAGGAGCCTGACTTTCTTTTCTCCTCCTCTATTGGCACCTAGAGCTGCAGCTTCCCCCTCTACACACCTGCCTCTCCACTCTCCTGGGCCGATGTGTGTCAGCCATTGTAGTTTTAAGATAGGGTCTTGGTTCATAACCCAAGTGGGCCTTCAACTTGGGATCCTCCTGTCTCAGCCTCCTGAGTGCTGGGATTACAGGTGTGCACTGGGTCCTTCCTGCTCTTTCCTGCTCCTCCCCCAGGCCAAGTTTCTCTTCTGTCCTGGCCTCCACTCTCAATTCCCTCTGCCTGGAATGCTGTTCCCAAGTCTTCCTCCAGCGAGGCTAGCTTCACGTCAACAAAGAGCCCTTCCTGACCACATAAGGGTCCCTCCAACCACTTCCTCAACAGTATTTTTTTTTTTTTTTTTTCTGAGATAGGGTCTTCCTGTGTAATCCAGGGTGGCCTTCACAGTGATCTTCCTGCCTCAGCCTCCCAGGAGCTAGGATCACAGGCATGCACACCACCAGGCCTGGCCCCTCTTCAGTAGTCTTTATCCTCGCTTCCTGCCCCTGCTCTCCGGCTTGTCTCTGGTCACTGCGGGGTCCCAGCGCCTAGAGCTGTACCCAGAGTCCACCCGATCCAGGTTTCCGGGTTCCGTTTCCGTCCCGCACCCGTCTCCCCATTCACCTGCGGGCTCTGCAGGAGGAGCTGGCTGTCCCCGACCCGCAGCGCCAGGGTGTGCGGGCCCATCAGCTGGCAGGCGGCCACGCGGCCATAGCTGACGCTGTGGATGGGCTCCGTGTCCCCAGGCCGGGAGAGGGACAGGGCCGAGGCTCCCAGGCCCAGGCAAAGCTTCTGTGGAGCGCCTCCGCCAGGCTCCTGAGGGAGGCAGGGCCAGGGTCGGGTCAGAGGAGGCCGCGGTCCTTCGGGGCAGGGGCTGGCGCGGGCGCACGGTGCAGCGCGCAGGGGCTGAGGCTGGCCCCGGGCGGGGCGGGAGGGGCCGCTGCGCGGACGGGCGGAGGTGGCCCCCGCGGCCTGAGGCTCTGGGGCGGAGCTGTGGGGCTTGGGCCTCCAGAGTCCCCGTCTCCCTTCTCCCCCTCACCGTGCTCAGCTCCAGAACGTCATACCGAGCAGCGCCGAGCCCCGGACACTGCGCCGCCAGCGCCAGGTAGGCAGCCATGGCCTCCGCTCGGCCCAGGCCCCGCAGCCGCTTCCAGCCGCCCAGCACGGC